ATTTAAAATCTAGCAACTAGGCAGTAATTGCATATTCCAGTTGTTGTTTTTTAATGCTTAGAGATGCTGATATGCAGTCAATGTTGAAAAATATAAAAACCATTGTGTTTATTTGACTGGACAGAATAAAATAGTTAGCTACATAGAAAACAAGATTACAAGAAGGGGTGTTATAATTGCACAATCTATGCTGTTGTTCCACAGCATCCAGTTGCCAGGTATTCATTGGATTTGCCAAGATTCATCAACATGCCCTGCCAAAGAACTGAGTCAACACAGCAAAACAATAAAATCAAGCATGTTCTTAGGTGGGAATGAGCTGCCTTCTTTCCAATAAAATATACTATTCACCAACGCCTACCGGTGTAATAAACAGATATGCTTATTCAACAGGACCAACATAGCAACAACTTTTGATTGGTCAAATCTATCGGAGTGAGTGCACAGAGAAATGTTCTCAAAGGGCAGTAATTCACAGCCCTGGTGTCTAATTAGATCACAGAAGGCAAAATCCCACAAGCCTGCTTCCTATAGGGAAGAAGTCCTAAGAGACCCCTGGAAAACTACAGAGATCATTAATGATCATCCACATTTTTTGGAAGTTCTACATGCCATGTTATTTAACAGTTAATTAAGGACAACTTAGTGTTAAATCCAAACCTAAACTGCAGTTAACATTAACTGCTCTTTGTAGAAACAAGGTAACCACACAAACCAGTCTGACACTCCTTCGTTTCTGTAAATGACAATTAAGCATGGGCACAGTTTGCCTGCCTTCAGATATAATTATGTTTAGTAAAGAATGTACTGTAAAAGCTTCTAATCTGCTTCAGTCCACACTGGGGAAGAAAGGAAACTGCCAAAGATTACATTTACTCATCTAAATGATATACCATGGATTACCATTAACTCTAAGAGTTTGTAATTACATCCAAGTGAAGTAATTGGCATCATTCAGATCTACCTTCACTAGAAATGTACATTTTGAGGCTACGGGGTGGTTGCGTTCTGGACTGGCAAAGGGACAGAAATTTTGAAATAAACGTGAAATATTTAGTTTAGGCATCTTTTTTTAGATTTAAACTCATTTTGTTACTTGACACTTATAAAATGTATCATAGACGACTTTGCTCACTTACAAAATTACCCAAATTTGAATATATTAAATTTATCATTTATTCAGACAAGCATCACAAATGCCAAGACCATTGGACCCACCGCTAGAATCGGGGATCCCTTCCCAACTCCAAATCTAACACGGGAAAGTTCAAATTCACTCCATTTCAAACTATATTCTTGACAGGTTAGTATGGTCCATACTCTTTGTGGAAGATAAGCTGGTATGAAGAGCATGAGTATCATGACAGAGAACAATGCTACTGTCTGAGAGATTGTGAATGGATAGCAGTTTTCTCAGAAGGTCAGCGGTATTCTGAGTAACTCAAGAGCACTGGCACTGTGGTCTGAACAGATTACAGACAGATTATCACCACAGAGACAGTGCACTTGAATAAGATTGTAGAAATGAACATTGTGTTTTTATGACAGCAAAGAAGTCATGGATGCCTCCATGCACAGCCACCAAGAATGTCAAATTACTTGTGCTACTGTCATAAAAACACAATGTTCATTTCTACAAAGAAGTCATGGATGCCTCCATGCATAACCACCAAGAATGTCAAACTACTTGTGCTACCGAGTCACTTGCACTTGTGATCTGAAATCAGCATAAGGGCTGCCAGTGAAAAGCAGGGGTTTATCAGGACCCCTGGCTAATCATGGCATGCAAATTTGGCCATTTTGGCACACGCATGTTCTATTCTCCATTTATTCCAACAAACACACTGGGCTAAAGTTACTGGCATGTAGTCATAAGATGACCACTTGCCATTCAATATAGTTCTATGCAAGAACTACCCTTCCTTCCATTCCTAGCAGATCTGCCTCTTCCACCCTACTGTAGGACAAGCAAAATACATGACAGCTTCTACAGAATTCTACAACGAAAAACACTAATTTACATTTAAACATTTCTAAATGAAAACCCCAAGTGTCCGTGTTTTTTTCAAATATGGTTAACCCAAAGTAACAACACAAGCAACAAACAGGATCTGAAAAATAAAATAATATCCTGACTTATACCAATTATTTTTCAGCATCAGATACATGAGCTACTTGATTTACTTGATAAATCTGTAAGATCTTTCAACAGTTCCCCCTAAACAAAAAAACGATGATAGCAAAAAGTTTACAGCACAAACCCTTACTCCATAACTTTTCCCTATAGAAGGCCAATGATAGGAGATGGTTTTTGCTAATTTAAAACTTCCCACTTCTGTTATAAGGACTTCTTCCAACTCTTGAGTAATCCCTTTCATCACAAGAAAGCTATGGGATGGCAGGAGGAGATCTCTAATTTCTGAAAATCACTGCTGCTGGATGACATCACCAGCAGGAAGTTGATTTTTCAATAATTAAAGACTTCCTCTTTTCATCTTGACACTTACTCCCATAGCTTCCATATGATGCAAAGGAATACTTGGGAGTTGGAAAATCTGTGTGACAAAAGTAAGAAGTCTCAAATTTCAGAAAACAGCCTCCTGCCTTTGGCACCACAGGCATAAGTTAAGAAAAATATTTCAGTCAACTGCTCTTAAGCAGAAGATGACGGACTTGTGAACTCTTCATACAGTAGCATTTTACCCCTGTAAAGAAGAATCTGTTCACTCATATTCTAAATGCCTCAGAAGATACTTCTGTCCTACTGATTTTCCCTCTTCACATTACAGCATCACAAACATACAGAGCAGGGATAAACCAATATCACGATTGTCACCATCATTCACCGACACCACCCTAGAGAATATTTGCGGTCTGAATGGCCTATTCAGAACAGGGACACAGTTCCTTTCATCGCCAGGCCTCCACACTGAAGCCTGCCTCCTAACTGAGAAAAAACATCCCAAAATGAAGAATTATGCCTCCAAAAGCATTTGGTGGATGCAATTCTTCAAATGGGAAGGGAACCCTCACCTTTTAAAGGATAGAATGGTATTTGTTTCTGAAAGCAGAAAGAACTTTCTGATCATTTTCACATTTTTAAAAAAGAAGGCTAGAAACAGGACTGAGAAAAAGATGTACCTGGGGGCTGAAAATTAGGAAGGATATTCCCTAGAAAGCTACAACTCTGCATGCCAATTAAGAAGTTGCCTATTGGTACAGAACAACATACAGTAATGACTCCAAGGCACAGCAACAAATCTGTAGCCGGCAAACTAGTACATGGATCACTGTTATTACTATAGCTGTTTAACACAAAATAAGACAAAATAAAACTAACCATTATAGTACTTTTAGAAAACACATGTGACTGTTTGCATGTCTGAAAGCTCACAAAAACATGTGGGATTATTTGCATGTCTCAAAACTCACAAATTGCTCTGTTGATTTATGTGGTAACGTAACTGCTTAACAAGAACTAGAAAAGACGCATATAACTTTCCTCTTTCAATCTTGATATGAAACCATGTCTAATAAGTAGTAAAATAAATATATTTTAAAATGAACGCCCTCCAAAACACTTCTGCACAGTATTTAACAATTTATCTGCAGTCCTATATCCCCTCACCTGTCTGGTGAAATCTGCAAGAATCTTCCCCTCCTTAATCCTGATACGCTATTGTGGGAGGATCACACAAGGATTGTTAAATGCAGACACCAGCAATAAAATAAACTTAAATTGCTGATAAGGCCGTTTTAAATGTGACTGAAGATTACACAAATAATGAAAGTAACATCGAATGTTGATACCGTCTCAGACATCAAATGCTGATACTGTCTGAGACATGTATTATTGTTTTAAAATATGAATTATTGTTTTAAAAATAATTCCCATATTGAACCCCACATAATGTCAAGCACTCTAGTACATTGCAAAGAGGGGATCAGAAACAACAGCTAGTCTACCATACGACTAACCTGTTCACACAAAACGGCATTAAGATGAGATACCATGCAAACAAAGACCAGGCTTAGATATTTCTCAGGGAAAGAGGCAAATTTTTAAAGCTGCTGAAATGTGAACTGTGAAAACATAGCAGTCACAGCTCTCAAGCTCTCCAAGGCACGCCAGGGTGCAAAACCAAGGACAAACTTATCAAAGATAGCAGTCTCAACATCAACAGGTTAAAAAGTGCACAAAAGGCAAAGTTACAAAAAGTGAGAATAAGAAATAATAAACATTATTTCTTTGTTTTCATTTTTTTAAAAAAAATTGGACAACCTAGAGGCTATGGAAGTTCAACACAGACCTCGTTGTTGAGATACAGCAATACAATACTAGGGCCAGCCTTCCCCCCCCCCCAACCACCACCACCAAAATGCTCCCAGGGATGATGATGATGGCCACAGAATAAGGTACCCAAAGTCCACACACCCTATTCCTTATCCAAAAAGAGAAGAAGCACAGCATCATCCCACAACGCCTTTCTTTTTTGGGGGGGAGATGTTCTATCTAGGGCAACCCCCCACTGGGGGAAAGGGGGCTGTTTTAGGGAAGCCATCAGCCCCCCCAAAAGGGGTCTTTCAAGATTTGGGGAGGGGGGGAACATCTGGTGACAGGAACCAACAGGGAAGAGGGTCTTCTCTACAGGAGGGGGGAATAGCTTCTTAGAACCAGAAAAGGAACTTTTTATCCTAACAAGGCAAGACGGGGGCGAGGGGAGATTTTCTATTTAAAGCTTGCAAACGTGGGGAGGGGGCCTTGGACTACAACTCCCAGAATCCCCCACCCATCACGGTTCTTGCAGTCCAAAAAGTAAGTTGTATATATAAAAAGAGAAATAAATGCTAAGTAGGAATGTGAGGAAGGGGGAGGCGCCCCTC